ACACAGACACATATACTTGAGTATGCTACCACACAACAAATGTGTTAAGAAAAGAGCAAAGACAGATCCAGAGAATCCTTGGCCTCTCTGTAGCAGAGGGCAAGGGACGCCAGCATGTCAGTCATTCTCACAAGAAGAGCTTTTGTTTCTTGTTTTCAAAGCTAGCAGAAAATAGAAACAAAGTGAGGGCTTCTCAGACAGAAATGCAGTCAGGGTTGTGGAATGCTGGATTTCCTTGTCCTGGCACCACTTTCCCTCAGTGGACTAAGACCCCTGGTTCTTCGCTTTTCCTTAGCTGCTGGCCAGATTCCTCCTGACTGGGAATCCGTTCATCCCTAAATGGGGGGCTAGACAGCCTGTACCCACTCCACAGTGCTCCCCACGACAAAGTGCAAGTTCCTGAGCAGCGATGTCTAGTTCTGAGTAAATAGCAGAGCCAGTCAAGCCCCCTTTGGCTTTACCTGAGCATCTTCAGAAGAAGCTCTATTCTACCTATTCAGAAGGAAAGTGTGCATACAAGGTAATTTCCTCCTTCTCTTTTGTAGCAGAAATAATTGCCATTTGTGGTTAGAACCCCAGTACTCTCTTTTGGATGCACAAGTCATATGATCACCATTTGCATATGCAGGATCTCTCATTTTTATTATAATTGTGGCATATCTTTAATGTGCGTGGCCTAATGTGCTTAATACAGAATTATAAAATATGCACCTAGCCCTTGGCCTCATTCTGCTTTCCCACCACAGAGGCAGCTTGGTGTTTTTATTAATTTAACTTTATACAAGCTAACAGATTGCCATAAAGGAAAACAGAATGTCTGAACCAGTTCAGCTAATAGCTGTGCTTCAGCAAAGGGCCCTGTGGTATGTGTTGAACAATAACTACTTCTCTCCAGTTCCACTTGCAGTTTTTAATTGAATTTCTATCCCATGGATATCATGTTGGAACTATTCATCTGCTCCACTAAGTCTTCTGATATTAAACAAGTTCTTCCAGGTTATTACTGTAATACAAACACTGTTAGACAGTTGATTTGCATTAAAAATTCACTGCCACAGTGAGGCTAACAGAGTAAAGGGAGTTTATCCTGAACATGGCCAAGTACAGAAATCACATTAATAGGGGTGAGAATGCAGCGTGCTTATCTTGTTTGCTTCTTTCATGGCCCCGTTCTTTGTTTGACTGAGAGGGTTTGGTCATGCTGACAAATTTTGATAAATGGTTTGGTTTTTGATATCTGCCATTCACATCTGCCACCAAGAGGCACATACATTCAGCTGGGTTTCTCTTTTTCTTCCTTTCTCCTTTGCTGTCTTGTCTCTAGCACACACTGCCGTTCTGGTCGACATTAGCAATATCTGCCACTAAGAGCCATTCGAACTGCTACGAAAAACATTTTAAAAGGCCTTGTTGTTCCCTGAATTGTGTGTGTTGTTCCCTTTCCAGCATTTTACCACTTATGTTTCCTCATGTTTGTAGACTCACAAGTTCACCAAGGTTTCAGGACATGAAAACAATGAGGGCCTTCTGAAAGCCCTCCATATGAATTTTCTAGATAAATAGAAGTAAACCTTATATGTAATTGGGGTAGGTGAAATTAGGAATGGCTTTTCTGTATTTTCTAGCTCTGGGAGGGTGTCATCACAGAGGGTGACTGCCATCCAGCCTGCTGTTGTATTGCTTAACCTCAAGTATCCCTTATCATGTCCCTTACCGTGTCCCTAACTTTTTCTTTTCTTTTCTTTTTTTAAAATTTTTAAAATCTTATTTATTTTTAATATAATTTATTGTCAGATAGGTTTCTATGAACTCCCAGTGCTCATCCCAACAAGTGTCCTCCTCAATGCCCATCACTTGCTTTCCATGGGGAGGTGAAGGGGGGGGAAAAAGCTACAGAGAGGGAGGGAGGCAAACCACAAGAGACTCCCAAATACTGAGGGGAAAGTGGGTAAGTTCTTTTTTTAAAATTAAACTTCACTTTTTAGAGAAGTTTTAGGTTCATAGCAAAATTGAGCAGAAAGTACAGAGAATTCTCATATACTCCCTGTTCCCCAATCTCCCCCACTATAAATTCATACACCAGAGTGGTACGTTTTTACGATTGATGAATCTTACCTTGACATGTCATCACCCCAAGTCTATAGTTTGCCTTAGAGTTCACTCTTTGCATTGTACATTCTGTGGGTTTTGACAAATGTATAGTGATCTGTATCCACCATCATATTATCATACAGAATTGTTTCTCTGCTCTAAAAATGCTGTGCTCTGCCTGTTTATTTATTTCTCCTTTAACCCCCACCCCCAACCCCTGGCAGCACTGATCTTTTTTTTTTTTTCTTTTTTCTTTCCCATCCTTTTTTTTTTAATAGTTTATTGTCAAGTTGGTTTCCATATAACACCCAGTGCTCATCCCCACAAGTGCCCTCCTCCATGCTTACCGTGTCCCTAACTTATACCTGTCTCCATCATCATGTCCTTTCACACCCTCTGTGATGACTTTTCCAGCTGTGTTAGAAGACACCTTCAATACTCTGACCTCATAGTCTTCAGCTCTCTTCTTCAACCACCTACTAGCATCATCACATCTTGGTCCTGTCATCATTTTTACTGCCTGACTGATAATAACTTGAACCTTGAAATTTCTCTGTCTGATCACGTTCTCTTATTTCTCTAAATTTCTGATACTCTTAGATCTGCTGAATTTATTTTTTGAGTATATGATGTCTTCCATTTTCTCAACTGCTCCTTACCTCCAAGTTGTGAAGTCACATGTCTCCTCTTCCTTAAAAGACTGTCATCTTCAAAGGCGGGGACCAAGCCTTCTATACGCATAGTGCTTTGTTTGGAATAGATGCTCAGTGAATTGCCAATTGGTAGATCTTTTCAAGTCAAGAGTGTTTGACCAATCAGTAAGAAAATTACACTCTGACTTCTATTTGGGAGTATGCGTTGGATCAAGGGTGCCCTCTTGGTACAATACCATTATTTGCACTTTTATTTCACGATAGTAGTTTTACATGGACAGTCAATTCTGAGTTAGTTCTCACTCTCACTAAATCATTGTATGACCTTTGGCAAGTTATTCTCTTAAATATTTTTTATCTGCAAAATGGGGCATAATGATAGGGTCTACCTTATTAAGTCACTGTGATAATTACATGAATTGATTGTAAAATGGCTAACCTAGTTTCTGGAATTTAGTGAGCTCCTAATAAACTATAATTATTATTGCTTGGAGTCATGGACCCACCGCGGTTTCAAGCCTATGTTTGCTTAAGATGAACCTCTGGAATTTCTGGTTCAGCTCTGGAGTTTGAAGAAATTTGAGTCTATAAATTGTGGTTGAGACCCAGTTGCTCTAATGAAATTCCTAGTTAGTTATTGCCGCTGGCCTGCCCATGTCCATGAGAAAATAGATGGTCTCATGGGCTCAATGGTGCATATTAGAAATGTGTCTAAATTGTAAAATCTGCACGCCTGTCTGAGTGAATAAGTGCTAGGCTGATGGTCAATGCAAAGCTTTACAATGGAAATAATTATTCGTGTTTTTGAATCTCTAGACATCATAGCACTGATAGGAAAGCCTTAGAATGGCAAAAATGAGGTGGCTTTTTTTTTTCATATAACCCTGTAAACATAAGCCCGCAGGCTCCTAAAGTTTATTTGGGAGTTTTGAACCATGTCTTTTCTCTCTAGTTAGTATTACTCTGTATGTCAAGGTTAGATGCCAATAAGTAGCAAATCGTATTTCTTGCCTTGGCCTGGTTGTTAGACCTGCTGTTTCCTGAGAAAAACAGCAAAGCCTGCTGACAAAGGGGATCTGTGACTTCAGTTGTAAGTCACTAAGGGCAGTAAACATTCCTGAAAGGGACTGTGTTCTAAGGATTGTAATCATCTCCTTTTGTAGCCAGTTTGTCTTGGATAACTGTGTCATCAGATGTTAATTACTTGTTTTGATTTTTCTGGCTGTTGGAGGGTGGTGCTTATTTTAATATTGTTATCCTTGATCTTTGGGCCTTGATCCTTTATTTTAGCTGTTAACAAAACAAGTCAGGTTCCAAAAGTATTTTATAGTTATGCAATCTTCAAATTAATCTGTAGAAGCCTAGAAATTATATATCAGTTAAAGGTCTGTTTCCATGCCCTGGAATTCCCCACATTATTGTTTCCCCTGAGATAGCTCTTTCCCCATTCCTTTCTTTGCTTTTTCTACTTTCCATTATTCAAAGTGCATCCCCAGCAATTTCAGCCCACAGTGATCTATGTGATGATTACATTGAGTGATTTTATCTACCCCTCAGAACCTGTTTCCTCATCTGTAAAATGGATACAATTATATCATATGTCATATGAAAACACAATAAGTCAGTAGTTAGTGCAAAAGTATTTGGTCCATATAAGATGTTCAAGAACTATAATGTCCCACTATGATTAATTTAGAGGATCATCATTTTTTCCTTCAAGCCTGTGTGGAGGGACCTGGAGTAGGAGTGGGGGAGAAATAGTGTAGAAACTGGCCACACTTTCAGGGGGCCTGGAATCTAAAAGAGAACGACGTCTGTTAATAATTTCAAGGCAAGGTCCTCTAAAGGAATGCCACACGAGAGACAGGAAATCAGCCAAGAGAGGAGAGGATGGTTAGTTATATGGCGTGATAAGAAGGACATTCCCAGGGAAGGAATCCGATACCACAGAGCATGTCCTTGCTGTGTTGTTATCTGTAATTTTCAAAACACATAGGGAGTGTATTTTTAATATTTTGACTTTGAAAATCTTCTGTAATGTCTGTGTTAAAAAGTTTGTTTTCTTAAGAGGTCTTTTTGGTAATAGCACTTCTGCTTTGAACAATTTTTACTTATTTATGCATACATGCCTTACTGTTTTCCAAAAGGATTTCAGGCGGCCCAATAGTACATATTGCTGCTGTCATCCCAGTGCCTATGTTAAGTCAGGCTTTTAGGAAATAGACACAGATGTTTTTCAGTTGCATTTGTCAATGAAATTCTTTTGTCTTTATTGGACATTAGCTCAGGGATAGGGGTATAGCCTAGGGAAGTCTTCATGGAGGGCTATGTTCGTCCATTTGCTCGACAAAGATGCTGTGCCTGTACCCTGTTCCGGGAACTGTGCTGTGCCTTTCGGGGTACATGTGTGGACAGGACATGCGTGGTCTCTGCCATTGGTGAGCTGATGTGCTAGTGGGAGAAGCAGTAAACAATCAGATTAATTAATTAGCAGTTGATTATAGCTGGTAATAGATGCTGCAAAGGAAATGTGCTGTGGTAGGGAAAGGAGAGTGATAGGGCTGGGCTGTGGAGAATTCCATTATATAAGCATTTTGGGCAAAGGGCTTGGTTTGTCATGGAAAGTACTCGGTATTCAAGATTTACTCAAAGCCTGTAGGGAGTTTGAACTCTTGCCTCCGGTGGTTCTTGTCTTTAACTCTAAATGTATGTGTATATGCATGCACACAAGTATGTACATGGATATACTCGTAGAAGATGTTCATAAGAGAAAAAAATGAACTTAATTCAGAGAATGGTTAAGTAATTTGTCTTCTAGGATGAAATACTATGTTGCCATTCAAATTATTTTTATAGAGTAAGTTTTAAACTAACATGATGAAACACTTGTGTGAAAAAGGTAATACAATTACATGGTTAGGATGTAAGTACATAGAATTGTGCCATCATCGGTCATGCTCAGTCTCTGGGGAATATACTCTTATGTATTCCAAATATGGAGGTTTTAATAAAGGGATTAGAGAGAATTGTATAATCTACTGGAAGAGCAAGGAACATAGGTCAGGGGTGCCACCACTGACTGCAGCCTGCAGCGTCCTAATGGATTGCTTTTAAGGGCTCAGCCTGAAGCTATGACAAATCTCCAGGAACCTCTGGGAAGTGCGAGCCTATTGCATCAGTTTCCATCAGCAGAATCGGTGGTTTTCATGGATGGCTTCGTGTTATGAGAGACTATTCAAAACATGTTTTTCCTGAGACTTCTGCTGCATATGAGAGCAAACTCTCAATTTTGGAGAGTTTTAGGAGGAACAGACTCTGATGGATAGTGATCATATCCATCATGTTAATTTCCTATTGGTGCTGTAACAAATTACCACAAATTTAGTGGCTTAACACAAGTTTATTATTTTACAGTTCCGTGTGTGAGGAGTTACAGATCCCATGGGGCTAAAATCAAGGTGATAGTAGGCCGTGTTCTTTTCTGGGGCCTCTGGAGGAATCGGTTGCCTTGCCTTTTCCAGTTCGATGGCTGCTTGTGTTCCTTGGCTTATGATTCCCTTCCTTCAGTTTTAAAGGCAGCAGTGGTAGCCAAGTGTTTCCCATGTTGTATCTCTGAATCCACCGTGACTGGGGAAAGTTTTCCACTTTCAAGATCCTATGATTAGATTGGGCCCTCCTTGTAATCCCGTATAATATCCCCATCTCAAGATCTGTAGTGAACTGCATCTACAAAGTGCCTTTTGCAGGTAGCATGTTCACAGATCCTAGGGACTAGGGCGTGGACTAATTTGGGGACCATCATTCTGCCTATCGTTATTTACATAAAAAAATGGTGGGACCAGGCCACCACCAGCCCATTGTCTCACACATGCATTTGTCTAACTTGCACAGTTACCTTCTCTAGTTGGACATGGACCATTGGTGAGAAGATGGAGCCTGCATGTGACTTTGAGAATTTACCCCTTCTGTTGAACAGATGTGGCCTAGAGCGGGGTCTCCCAGCCTGCCTATCAGAGCACAGACTGGGTTTCAGGCCTAGTTTTTCCCTCAGCAGGATGTCCTTAACTCATACAATACTGTCCCGAGGCCCTGGGCAAGGTCAAGGAGTGGAAATATCTAGAAGAAGCGTGTTGAAGTCTATTGGATTTTATCTACCACCTCTTTCTCAGGGTGGTGGAGGTGGTGTTGGTAAACCTGGTTGATACCTTGGGGCAGTGAACCTTCCATGGCTCAAATCCTTCTCCCCAGGGCCCAGGCCACCCTGAAGTCACTTCCTTATCCTTTCATATATACATTTAAATAATTTTAAATTGCCTCCTCAGCCAGGCTATAAGTTTCTGCGGGACAGCAAGCCTACCTTGTCCTCTCCTTACATTCTTTATAGCCCAACCTGATTATTAGATGCTTAATGATACGTGTGACCTAAATGAGCCAGTGACTGAAATAAAATGTGATGGGGGTTGTAAAAGATATCCGAGTCTTCCCAACACATGCTGCCCTGCTCTTCTTGCTATAATGATGCAGACAAAGAGAATCAGACATCAAAGTTTTATCTTCCTTCCCTGAGCGCTTCGTTCTTCCTTGGGACCGCTCTCTCCCATGTGGCTACTGCTCGCTCTCTGCCTTGCCTTTCCTCTGTCCAATTCTGCTGGCTGGTATTGACTCACGTATGACTGAGTTTATCGCTGTGGTCCACCTTTCAGTGATAAATGCCTTTGATGCCTAATTACAGAATGTAAGTCTTTACCTTTCTGTAAGAATAATTGTCAGAGCAGGTAGGAGAAGCATTTTGAAGTCAATGTCTTCCTTGGTGCCTCAAACATCCTCACATAGGTTGTCACCTCCTCCACTATTGCCTCTAGCAGCTTCCCTCCACCCCCCACCCATGGGCAGGAGGCATTCTTGCCAAACATTTGAGCACATTCTCTAAACCCAGGTTAGAAATCTTGCTTTCCCCCAGCCAGTCCTCCCTTGCCTTTCCCTGTAACGTTATAAATGCAGATAAGTAGGGAGGTAGCCCATATCGATGGTGATTACTGAAAACATCCCCATCATAGACAATTCCCTCTGCAGTGGGAATGTCATGATGTGAGCCACAATTGGCTTTCAAAATCACATGTTTGTCACTCTACATGCAAGGGAGAAAGAGATTAATATTTCAAAATTCCCAAGATGGTTCTCTGAATCTGACTCATTAAAATATATAATCTCTGTAGTCTGGAAGATAATGCCTCGAAGTTGAAACCATAATTATTTATTTGCTCCAACTTCAGCATCACTGATGCAGCAAAGTATGAAAAAAGAGTTACACTCTTCGATAACACCACTAAATCCACGGTTAATGCAGGTTTAAAAGGACAGCTACTAGTTTACTCATCCCCCTGATCATTACAAACACACAGAGGTTTAGCGGCCGTGCAATAGCTCTCTGCAGAGTAGGAAAGAGATACGAATATGGGTGAGTGCACGTAGATTGTAGTCTAATCTCTTGAAATTTTCTACTGATCAATTATTGCGGCAATAGAGGTGTGTAATTGTCCCCCTTAAACCAAAATGGCTTGCCTATTTGTGAACTCCAGCTCAGTGCTTTGCTGGGGGAAAGAAGTGGGAAAGAAATGTGTTAGCAATGCATAGAGCAATACTTTGTAATCAGAATATTAACATTTTGATTGAATTGATGGGACATTTAAATGGAAATATTCAATTGCAAAGGCCAAACTTGGGAGGGAACCTACAACACACAGACGGAGTCTGAGCCTTTTTTCTTGATTAAAGTGAATTCTTTTAATAGAGAAAAGAGTAACAATGTAAAGAACTTCGTATTAAGAATAGAAGGGTGGGCAGTGTTCATTTTTCAATTGCTTATATTTGAATGCAGATAAGTACCCACATTGGGAGCTATAAAGGCAAAGTCTTTGATTTACTGATGATTGAAGAAGGCTATAGTAGTTTTATCAAAAACCATGCAGAATGAGCAGAAGGGCCCAGGAATGTAGTGTGTTATCAGATGGATACTCATACCACTTCCATTCCAAACGAGCTGTGTAGTGTTGGGCAAGCCACCTCCCTCTCTGGGCTCAGTTTTTCTCACTGGTAAAATGGGAGCAACAATACTTACCCTAAGGAGTTCACGTGGTGTTAATGTGGAGTGAGGTATCTGTATTCCCTGATGGGAAAAGGTCAGTCCCCAAATGGGGATCAGAGGCCGGGGTGCTGAGCTGCTCAGTGGATACACAGTGCAATTTAGAAGGAAGATTCTTCTTTGAAAATTGTAGATTCTCTTTCAAAGAGTTTTAGCAGATCACCCTCACTGATCAGCATACCTGTTATTTCGAGTAGAGGAAAAAATATGAATTTTCTTTGCAACAAATTGTGGGTAGAGATCCACCTGATTTAATTTCTACCTATGCTTTGTCCTCAACCCAGCTGTTGGTGAAATGTCCAGATTTATTATATAGCTGGTTCCCACGTCCCTTTTTCTGGTTTTGTTTTGTTTGGCTTCAGTGCATTATCAGAAGTAGGACTATCTCCTTGGTCAAAAGAGATTTCTTGGCTTTAGACACTTTTAGAACAGAACTTATTATTTGGAATGAGAAAGAAAAGAATGACTAGTAGAGTATCAGCCTTATGAAGACAAGTAGCCTCAGAGTGTTTACGGTTTTGAAAGGAAATCCTGGTAAATATGGTCTCATTTGTGATGGGGAAGGAGCATGATCTCCTAGAACTGTAGAATTCTACAGAATCATTTTACAAATGAAGAAACTGAGGCCCAAAGAAAGAAAGCACATTCTATTTAGAGAAGAAGCATCCAGATGGCCACTCCATTGTTCATAACATACACTGTGATTTTTATTTCCTTGGACAGCCTTCCAATTTGGTGCCACCCCATTCCATATTACAGCTGCCTATTCCAATCTCACCTTCTACTGCCCTCTCCCAGCCACAGCTTGAGATGAGAGAATCTTTGCAGATACCACAAGAGCTAGTGAACATTTGGACTAGAGGAGAGAATACTAATTCACTATTCCATTGTCATGCAATGTTTCTCCTGTTGACCCTTCTCTTCTACTTCAAAGAGAATGCTATGATTTCTAGTGAAGTCTAGAAGAAAGTATCCTGGTCTTCAGGAGACCAACATCACAGAATCACATGGAGGAAGGGCACACATTTTAAGGTTACAAGTGGCTGTACCATCAGCACGGTTAGTTCTTAGTTGACAGGGTAAGGGCTTCATTTTTCTATTCCAGAGTAGGACCGTGTGTGGGGGGAACTTTCCTGGACTTTACTCAGTCTGGATGCCACAAGGCCTGGGGAGCTCAGGAGTCTCCACATTGGGGTGAGTAGGTTTGACAGCAGAGGCGGGGAGGGCGTCTCCGGGAAAGAGCTACCTAATTAATCACAAGCTATCAGAGCCTATCCACAGAAGGAGTCTCTGAGGTCTTAACGACACCCCTCAGTAATGTTAAAAATCAGCTTGGTATGACTTCATTTTCTTAGAGACACATGATTGATCTGGCTATTGGTGAATGGAGACACTGCGGCTTCTTTCCGTAGATGGTGTCATTAGACAGGAAGATTAAGTGCCTTTGCACAAAGGCTATGAGAACACTGTGAGTGATTCACTGGCAATGAAAGGAAGATAAAGACAATTCTGAAATATGTATTTTTAAAGGCAGAACCTTAGACTTTACCTCATTTATTAGCATCATGAAAAGCTTGGTGGAGAGTCTGAGCTAAGAGAAATGGCTCTTTGGGTCAAGTCTTTCCGAGATGTTGTTCAAAACAGTCAACTGGGGCTAATATCTATGGGGAATGCCCTATTTCTTATTGGTGATCCTACTAAGTATTTCAGGGCTCTGAAAGGAAGTGAGAGTCTTTTTACTTGGAGCCTCTTAAGTATTACAGAGCCAGATTGGGACAACTCAGCTTCTTTTATTCAGAGGAGGCTGGGAGGTAGGCTTATTAGAGTGGCCCCTGAGACTGATAATCCACCTTTCCCAAAAGTTCCTGGACTTTCTGAAGAAGACATGGCACCTTTCTTCAGGCAGGTATTAGCTACACCTTCAGTTCTTTCCATGTGTGAGCCACAGTGGGGACCAGCCTCTCTTCCTTTGTAGATTCTTTTGTCCAGTTAGGGATAATGGCTAACACTACTAAATTATGAAATGCATAGCATAAACCCTTACTGTTGGCTGTTGGATTGTGTAAAATGCAGTAATACATGAAAAGTACCTACAAAAAGTCACTCAAGTCAGTACTTAATAAGTGTTAGTTGTTATTATGATGCAAATATATAGAGCCAAGTATACAGAGAAGAACAAATGGGTAAAGCAGGACAGGTAGTAGAGGTAGGTGGGGCCTATGGTCAACAAAACCATTGATATCTCCTCTCAAGTCATTAAAGTTCATATTTTTAAGAATTCTTGGCAGGCTAAATCAAACATACTCAGGGGGACTTAGCTCATAAGCTTCCAGTTTCCAACCCTACGGATGATGTAGATCTTTAGAGATGGGAAGAGATAATTTAGCACAAGTATGCTTTGATCACTTCATTCATTCATTCATCCATTCCTCATATACGGAGGGGTTACCACCTACTGGGTTATGCTGGAAGAGATTAAAAATAAGACGTAATAAATGGTCTAAAGCAATTCAACATCCAGGACCTGTTAGGTAAAAATCTGTATGTTCTATGAGAGATCTTATGCATAATACTGTACAGTCCAGACAGAAGATAGGATAGTGGACTTTGGGTATCAGGTTGAGGAAGCAGTCAGCAGACTCTGGGGAGCCAGCAAAAGTTTTGAGCTGGTTGTATGAGGATTAGATATAAAAACTAGGAAGAATAACCCGGTGATACTGTATGAGAGGTATGTGATGAATTGGTCTTAGAAAAGAGGGATGTTTCCATTGGGTATAGACAGAAGGTGACCTTTTCAAGAAGTAATATGGGTACAGGATCCATCACATTTCATAGAACATCTTGGTATAAGGAAAAGTAGACGTTTCCAAAATGAAGTATTGAACTCCCATAAGTAGTAATTTGGGTGAAAAAAAATGGTGCCCATCAGCAAAGCTTTCCATAATCTGGTCCCACATACCTTTATAGCTTTACTTTCTTCCATGTTCCTCCAGGCATGCTTGCTACCAATCAAAGTAGACCTAGACTAGTGTCTTTGCCCAGAGCATCCCTTGTGTTTCTTGCTTTTAGATTGTTTTCTCACACCATTTCTTCTGCTTCATTGTGAGTGGACTAGTAGTAAATTTCTAAGTCACTATTTTGACAAAGAATTCCCAAGAATCCACTAAGTGCTGGGCACCATGCCAAGGGATGGAATATAGTGACCGGGCTGATCTCTGCTCCAAAGCCAGGCTGACAAAGGGAGACTGAAGAGCTGCTCACCCATGCAGGAAGCATCGTCTCCATGTCTCCTTACTGATGCTCATAGTTACAGCCAAGTGGGCTGCAGTCTCCCATGTCAGCATTATATCTTTACTGCACATTTTGGAATCACGCGTTTTGGCCTTTATCAGGGTCATGTTAACAAAGATCTCAAGGACAGCAGATTTCAGTTTATGCTGCCGGGGAGACATAGTAGCTTTGTGAGGGCATATACACTTGAGTTTCAAGTGCACAAGAAGCACTTTAAAGATGTTCAAAACATTCCTTTCTATTCCACAGACTCTGCTGTATAGGTGGTCCTTGTGAATATAGTAGGACTTTTAAAGTATATCTTTATGTATTTCAATTTTGTGGCAATATATAGAACTTTGAATGTGTATTTTTATGCATTTTAATTTTGTTAGGATTAGAAAAATGTTAGTGGCCACTAGCTTTTAAAATGCTTGCAGGGTATTAAGGCTTAGGAGAAAAAGGTTCTCCTTCATATATAAAATTTACAACCAGAAATAATTTTTTTGTTTCTTTTTCCTTCTCTCCCATTGCCATGCCATCCTACTTGCATGAGGTATATGATGTAAGACAGATGGCCACATCAAACTAGCTGGAACATGGATAGGATGAATATCCCATTATCCTGGGAAAGTTTTGGGTACACCTTAGCGTTCTCTGAACTTTGTAGAATTTCTACATTCTTCCTTAATTGTTCTAAGAATTTATCTTGGCTCATATGATCTGAAGCTGAATAGCAAAGATAGCAATGTCAACAAAATGGTTAGAAAAGAGAGAGAGAGGGAAAAAAAAGAGAATGTAGGTTTACTTACTCTCTGTGACAGGTTATTTGGTGATGCTCAAAGTGGAGCAAGAAGCTCAGAGCCAAAAAGACAAATTAGGCATTCCTCCCATTGAACAGATTGGACAGCTGAGGGTCTGGAAAATATCAGGCTATGGTCTCACAGATACCCCACCCAACTAGATAGCAGTGGTGTGAGGGCTCAAATTTAGGTCTTTTGATTCCCTGTTCCATAGTCTTTAAATGCATTTTTAATAATTTTTTTTTCCAGTAAAAGTAACTTGATCCAGTGGAGTTGAGATGGAAGCTTTTATTTGGGGGCAGCAAAATCTATTTGGATTCTTTTCTCATCAACAGGTTTAAGATTTTTATTCAAGTCCTGCTTCTCTCTTTTCAGTATTCCTGGAAATTGAATTTGAATACCTTTGTTAAAATGATAATTGGTGAATTCATTTCATTTGCTTTATAGACTTAATTTTATATGTATTTTCTTTTGTTTAGAATAGGCACATACATAGAATATGCTCTGAGGCCATGTAAGTAATAAATTATATATATTTATGTGTCTAATATACATTATATACAATAATGTATATAATATACAAAAAAAAACTATCATGGAGAACTTTCTAGAAAGATGTGTAGAGCTATAGATAGAAATATAGATAGCTGTCTGTATATATTATGTATTTTTTCCCTAAACATACATTTGGAATTATAATCCTTTAGGTAAGAGCCCAAGATAGTCAGTAGGTGTTGACTGGAAATGGCATGTGAGATAGCGCCTATTTGCTGTTGTACTATTTGTTTAAATTAATATGTAAAATTTGTAACACAGTTGAGAACACTTTTATTCTCAGATTTCCTGAATAAAACATTTACTTTTATCTATGGTGACAGCTCTTAGGCTTGCTTAGAGGGTTACATTTCCCCCGCCCCCACCACAGTTTACTCACCATCTTCATCCAGTTGTTAAGTAATCTGACTGCAACACGTGCGGGTTACCCACTTTTCTGTCTGTAAGCTCAGTGGCAGTGCAGGTTGACAAAGTTATCTAAAGGGAATATTTGGGTGGGAGGATTCAGGTTATCCTAGCAATTCTGATTTCTTTGTTTAGTAAATTTAATGAATTTAATGAATACCCCACTAAACATAGTAGGGAAATATTTATTTCTTGAGTGTTCATTTTATTGGAATTTATGATTTAGTTGGGGCAATAAAGGATTCACACAAGCAATTATTATATGAGAATTTAAAGCCCTATTTGAGCAAATGGCATAGACACTTCACTGTTATAAATGCCAAAGAACTTCAGAATAATAAAAAAAAATTCATTGTGAGCTAATTGGGAAAGTCTCCCTGGGTGGGAGCAGCTTGGGCCCCACCCAACCCCCTGAAAGACTGCTTAGGAAAGAGCTGTGCAGAGAGGAGTCATGGTGAACATTCTAGAAAGGTACGACATAAGCAAAGGCTTGGGTCAGAAATGAACATGGCTTTGTGGGAGACTTGGGCTCATTCAGTTCTGCTGGTGTGGAGTGAGAGTGCAGAGGAATAACTAGAGATACAGTCACAGACATGGAGGGTGGGAAGATGGAGATTTTGGAAGGATTTCAAATTTCCAATGAGGAGTTAGTATGCTACTGTGGGCTTGTTACATAGAATGCAGCTCCTAGACAGGAGTCCAGTTATGGGAAAGGATAGAATTGGCGCACTGGGTCAGGTTGTGGGGTGCTTACCTGAGGATTTTCTTTCTGCCCCAGGATCTCTGGGTGGTGTGCGGCTGATGGTGTGTGGCTCCTATGCGGAATTGTATTAGATCCCAGGTGATGTGGATTGTTTTCAAACGGTACCAGTTTTGAGAATCATGCTTCCCTCTTCCACATCTTTGCTACTTTATTGTTCTACCCCTATTTCTGTGGATGTTTTAAGGTCCCTTGTATCTGGCATGGTTTGCAGTGGTCAGAGCCGCATGGGCTGTCCAAGTTCAGATGCTTGCACATTTAGTGCAAGGCAAGTCACCTCTCTTAATCTCCCACAGCTTCCCGGCAGCATGGGGAGTGGCAAGCCCATGGACGCAGTGTGAGATCAATGAGAGTGCTTCTAAGAGTTTGGGTTTATGGTCTGCTTTTTGGAAGGTGGCTGGGAAGCTGTGCTTTCCCTAGGACCACTTTTCTCTTGCTCACAGCATTGAGACATCATAGATTTCTTTTAGTGAGCATTGTAAAACCGTTCCCCTTCCTTTCACTTTTTAGAGTCTCACACAATTGTAACAGTTAACCTCTTTTAAACGATTTTGCTCTGACTTTTATTCCTCTGCTACTGAGAATAAAACTGAAAATTAAACGTTGAAATCAAATCCATAAATCCCTAGCTACCACCAGAGCAAAGTGATGGGCCAAGTGGTTGGGCCAGGAGACTCATGGGCTGGTTGATCCCAAGGACTGTGCTTACTCATATTTTGCTGTAGAGCATCAAACCTCATGGTATTCAGTGAGAAATGCAAAAGGGCCCAGTGGAAGAAGCCTTTGTTTTCCATGCTTTGCAAATGTGTGCTCTGCATGTACTGCACATGCAAAGTGAGGATGTTGTCCATTTTCATTTCTTTGCTCTTAAATACCTCTCCACCACTTGACATTTTCTCAGTGTCAAGTCAGCTTGAATAAGTGCAATGAGAAAACCTTATAAATGGCAAGCGAATTGGAGATCACCTTTATCCAAGCCTGGAGGTTATATTCAAAATACTAAGCAATTGATATTAATCCATCAGGGTGGATAGAGGTTATAGAGTTGGAACAGAGTAAGGAGACACCATGGTGTATAGATGTTACCTTTTCAGTTTCTGAGTTGGGGAAGATCCTGGGGGAGAGGCAGGGATGGTTGGGAGATGTTTGGGGGCCTGGAGCAACAGCAATTTACCAAATTCCATTATTTTCACATTATTATGGTTGAATATTAGCCCTGCCTGTACCTTATTATATTTAATATATTTTGCAATTCTATTAGCAGATGCATAAGCATTAGGAATGTTCTGTCTTCTGGAAAGATTGAGTACTTTATCATTATGCAGTGGTCTTCTTAATCCGTGGTAATATACTATGCTCTGAAACTCACATTTCCTGATGTTAGTATAGCCACTCCAGATATCTCTTGATTGGTACATCTTTTCCCATCATTTTGCTTTAAATCTATTTGTCTTTAATTTAAATCACATTTCTTGTAGACATCATAGTTGGGTCTTGCTTTTTTATCCAGTCTGACAGTCTCTGCCTTTTAGAATGCTTGGACCATTTACTTTTAATGTGATTGCTGATAGGCTTACTCTTTGTTTTCTACTTATCCCATAGTCCCCTTAATCACTTTTTCCTTTTTCTTCCTCCTTTGGACTGAGTATTGTTATTTTATTGTACCTTCTATTTCTGGCTTATTAGACATAACTCTTTAATTGTGTTATTTTATGGTTGCTTTGGGGTTTATAGTATATACCTCAAAATGTTCACAGTCTAGAATCAAGTGACATTTTACTGTCTCACATATGGTGTAAGAACCTTAAGGGAGTGTATTTCTATTTCTCCCCTTTTAGCATTTGAACCTTTGTCGCCATGCACTTTACTTCTATGTATGTTATAAACCTCACGTGTTTTTGTTATTTTTTCTTTAACAAAGACATTTTTTAAAAATAGATTTAAATAAAAAGAAAGGTTTACATTTATCCATGCAGTTGTCATTTCTTTTATCTTCATTCCTTTTTTGTAGATCCACATTTCCATCTGGCATCATTTAGAGTTTTTGTTGGTTTGTTTGTTTTGCTTTTTGTTTTTCATTCATACTTTAAAAATATTGCTTCACTTTTTTTTTTTTTTTACAAATAGTTTATTGTCAAGTTGGTTTCCATATAACACCCAGTGCTCATCCCCACAAGTGCCCCTCTCCCTCCCACATCTATCAGTCCTCAGTTTGTTCTCAGCATTCAAGAGTCTCTCATGGTTTGCCTCTCTCCCTTTCCCCCACTATTTCTCCCCTTCTTCTCCCCCATGGTCCTCTGTTAAGTTCCTCCTAATACTCCTATATGTGCAAACATATGATATTTGTCCTCTGCCTGACTTATTTCGCTCAGCATAACACCCTCAAGGTCCATCCATGTTGCTACACATGGCCAGATTTCATTGTTTCTCATTGCCGTGTGGTATTCCATGGTATAGAAAAACCACATCTTCTTGATCCATTCGTCCATTGATGGACACTTAGGCTCTTTCCATGTTTTGGCTATTGTTGAGAGCGCTGCTATGAACATTGGGGTACATGTGCTCCTATGCATCAGCACTCGTGTATCCCTTGGGTAAATTCCTAGCAGTGCTATTCCTGGGTCCTAGGGGAGTTCTACTGTTAATTTTTTGAGGAACCTCCACACTGTTTTCCAGAGGGGCTGTACCAGTTTACATTCCTACCAACAGTGTAGGAGGGTGTCCGTTTCTCCACATCCTCACCAGCATCTCGTGTTCTCTGATTTGCTCATTTTAGCCACTCTGACTGGTGTGAGGTGGTATCTCAGTGTCGTTTTGATTTGTATTTCCCTGATGAGGAGGGATGCTGAGCATTGTTTCATGTGTTTGTTGGCCATCTGGATGTCCTCTTTGGAGAAGTGTCTGTTCATATCTTCTGCCCATTTCTTTACTGGGTTGTTTGTTTTTCGGGTGTAGAGTTTGATTGCTTCACTTTCTTGTCTGCTGTCATCCATATCTTTGTTCTACTCTTTGTGATAGATCTTTTTTTTCTGTATTTTTATTGTCTTTATTACCAGTATTAAGCAATTTGATTATGATGTGCTTTGATATTGTTTTATTCATGATTCTTCTGCTTGAGAATGTTTGTGCCTTTTGAAAGTTGGTTTATAGTTTTCATTAAATTTTCAAAATTTTCAGCTATTATTTCTTCAAATATGTTTGCCTCCCACCCGCACCCTCTGCTACCAAGTTTCTTTGGGGGACTCTAATTACACCTGATGTTTTTCTGCAGCTCACTGATGTTCTATTTATGTTTTTCCAGTTCTTTTTTTCTGTATTTCATTTGTACAGTTGATATTATGATGGTTTTAATTTCACTTGCCTTCTTCAGTGTCAAATCTGCCATAAATCTCATTGAGCTCAGAAATGGTCGTTTTTGTCTCTGGAAGTTTGATTTGTGTCTGATTTTCAGACACAAATATCTTTCAAATATGTAATTAACATGTACATTTTTTCTGGCTTCTTGAACATATGGAATAAAGTTATAATAACTGTTAATGTCCTTTTTACTAATTCTCTCATTTGTGTCATTTCTAAGGAAGATTTCTCAACAGTGGTAATATTAAAATCTTGGTTTGGCTAATTTTTAGTTATGGGAGGATTTTCTCACATTCTTGATGTTAGTATAGCCATTCCAGCTAGGATATTTAGCAAAATCCTTGTTCTCAGCCCACTAGATGCCCGTAGCATCTTCACTCATGACAATTAGAAATTTCTCTGGGCCTTGACTACTCTCCCTAGGTTGGAGGGGGCAAGAAATCACTCCTAGCTGAGACCTAGTAGTTTAGATGGATTGATTTTTTTCTTCTCATTATGGATTGTATTTTTCTGCCTTTGTCATGCTAAATAATTTTTTTATATGATGCCACCTATTATGATTTTTATCTAACTGGGTGGTAGATGGTTTTAGAATTCCTACAAATATTGTTGAGCTTTTTTCTGGGACACACTTAGATCACTTGAAAATGGTTTAACTCTTTCAGGCGTTGATTTTAAGCTTTAGAAGGTGGGATCAGATAGCATTTTCTTTAGGGCTAATTTTGCCCCATCACTGAGGCAGAACCTTTCTGAAGTATTCCAGCTGAGGCTCCATGAGTCACCACTCTGGTTGGTGGGAAGAGCAACTTAGTGACCCTGCGTGAGCTTCTGGGATTGTTCTCTAATCTTTTCAGGTAGTTCTTTCTCCAGCCTTGGGTGGTTTCTTCATACGTGTGAACTGATTAGTGCTCAGCTGAAGACTTGAGTGAGATCTTCCGCATTTCTCTTGAGTTCTGTCTACTTACGTAGCTGTCTCTTCTCCAGTACTGTTTCTTGCAAACTCGACCCACCTTTACCTGCCCACACTAGCCATGGCATCAGCTCAACCCCAAGAGATCACTGGGCTTTGCCCAAGTTTCCTTCCCTGCATGTGGCCTAGAGGCTCTCCTGCAGTGGTCTGGGATGACTGAAACACTTGCCTCATTTGCTTCTTACCTGTCAGGGATCACTGGTCTTAATTGCCTGATGTCCAATGATTTGAATATAATTGTTTTTATATATTTTATTTATTTATTTTTTAGTTGTTTCATGAAGGGGTGGGAGCTAGATTCAGTCTTGGTTACTCTGTCATGTCCCAAA